CCCCCCCCCCCCCCCCCCCCCCCCCCCCCCCCCCCCCCCCCCCCCCCCCCCCCCCCCCCCCCCCCCCCCCCCCCCCCCCCCTCTCTCTTCCCTCTCTTTTTTTTTTTTTTTTTTTTTTTTTTTTTTTTTTTTTTTTTTTTTTTTTTTTTTTTTTTTTTTTTTTTTTTTTTTTTTTTTTTTTTTTTTTTTTTTTTTTTTTTTTTTTTTTCTTTTTTTTTTTTTTTTTTTTCTCTCCCCCCCCCCCCCCCCCCCCCCCCCCCCCCCCCCCCCCCCCCCCCCCCCCCCCCCCCCCCCCCCCCCCCCCCCCCCCCCCCCCCCCCCCCCCCCCCCCCCCCCCCCCCCCCCCCCCCCCCCCCCCCCCCCCCCCCCCCCCCCCCCCCCCCCCCCCCTCCTCCCCCCCCCCCCCCTTTTTTTTTTTTTTCCTCTTTTTGTTTTTTTTTTTTCAGATAAATAAACTATATGTAGAATGGTCTTTAAATGAATCATAATTATTATATTTTCTAAATTGTATAGAATATACCTGGTCCTCTTTCTGAGCGACATTTTCTCTTAGATCCCGCTGTAGTTTTATGCACTCATCTTGTTTCTTCGCCAACTCCTTTTCTCCTTTTGTTAACTTCTCTTCTAGGTCGGTCATTTTGTTGTTTAACTCTGCCACTCTTCTCTGCCATGAACTTAACTCAGCCGACTATAAACATATTGAATTATTAAAAACTTAAGCTTTTTATATAATATAAAAGCACCGATTCTTATAATATATGTAGGCTCAAACTTAAAACGAAAGCAATTACGTCATTTTCAGAAAATAACATTTTGAAGCATACTATATTTAGCTGTCATACATAAATAAATTTTGTCAAGAAAATATCTTCAATATTTAATTTTAAATAATACTCTATATACATAAAATACATCCTATAAAATTCTAACGATGGTTTCAGGAACATGCTTTATACAGGGTGAGCGAATATTAGTGAGCTAGTTATGTTCAATGGTGACTCTAATGCCTACATTTTATGTGTTATGATTATCATGACTTATGTGTACCGGCAAAGTCATGGTAGTATTAATGTGCCTGTGTATATGTATAGTTATATATAAGTTAAAATAATCTCATTGATTAAACTTTAGTTAATATTAGATTAAACCCAGAGCCAACTTCAATAAATATGGATCTAGGTTTTTCATAGATATTAAGAAAATAGCTAAATATGGGACATTACTCAATTAATCTATAGGTTTAGATATACAATGATATAATTTAATGATGGAATTAGTAGTAAATGTTAGGGCGTGTGCAGATATGCGGTTATGAGTAGAGTAAGGTCTGGTGCTGACCTGTTTAGCGATCGTGTTTTGTAGCTCAGTTAGTTTCTTGCCAGTCTCCGGCTCACCGTTAACACTACTTTCCTGTGCCAACCACCAAAATAAAAATATTTACTATTTATAAACATAATTATTACCATCTAAAAGACATTTTATTATATTGACTACAAATGTTTCCATTTAAAATTATAAAACTGTTCCGACGTTTGATTTACAGATAGGACTGTGGTGTCACTGTCATTGCAGTGAAAGCCATGTTTGTGCTGCTAGCGCCACCTATTCAAATATATGCAGCGTAGCGATACATGAGCCAATGACACAAAAACTATGGTTGTATTTGGTTTGTTTATGATTGGTCAAACGGAACGAAGGAACAAGTGTCGTGTGTCTGTGATTGGACCAATAAAAATCAAACGAATGCCGTAATCATTTTTGTTTCACCATTCCAAGCCCGTGGAACAGGTTTATGATTTTCAACCTATATAACTTAAAAGGGGTTTTAGTTAGGTGTTGTATGTCTGATCCTCCCGTAAATATACATCATAATTTACACAAACCAACACAAATACTTGGAACTGGCATAAAGTTAAAACTATTGCCATAAAAAAAAAAACACCAATTGTCTAGTCTCTAATTGTAATCTATGCTACTTTACCGGTCTACACCACATTAAATACGCCTTTTAATTAATAAATCGTTTACACATTAAAATAGTAAAAGAAAAAACTGTGACGTCAATCACGTTTGTAGTATGTATTGTAAGGATTATAGCCGATAAACTTTTCTTTATCGTTAAGATTTTTATTCGTACCTTATAAAATTATTTTTATAATTTTTTATATGATTACGAAACAGATAAACAAATCTGAGGCTAAAGCTCGTATTCTAAAACGACACTCAAACTTAAATCTTCTATTTAGATCTGTCAAAACATTTTTACTTTTTGAACTTTCTCTAATATTTGACAGTACTCAAGTGGAGATTGACTTGTTAAGTCTATTTAATAAGCACCGAAAATTGAAACAATCTAGTGGTGTATTTATAACCGATTTCTAAAAAATAACCTTATCAGTCTCACTCGTATGTGATATTGTAGGGATTGAATAATGCGTCAAAGTACGTGTGGTAAATCGTAAAAATAAAGTGTCTATATGTTGTATGTTTGTCCACAAATTTCTCTCCCCACCAACCCACATCTTTGATAGGTATTAAATAATTCTAAGTTACTTTAATTTCAAATTAACAATTATTTGCCTGTAACCTGCAATCATGTGAACCATTAATACCTTAGTCTGTGTCGGTTCGCCGTTCTGTTCTGGCGATCCAGTCGAGACAGTGCCGTTCTCTTTGGGTTTGTCGTCCTGGCCGGACGATGATTTGTACTGTTGCAGCTGTAACATTAAGACAATTTCAAATACTTTGAATTCAGATAAAAGTTTCATAGAAATATCATAAAATCTGCACTATGAGGCGTTACATCAATTAAATAGGTCAACTTTAGAAACAAACAGAGGTTTTCTGCTTCTCGACTTTTTACTTTTCGGAATAATATCCTAAAGCAAACGAGCAGGCACTTTGAATAAAGTGATAACAGCCGCCCGTGGACACCTGCAACGCGGGGGGCTGGCAGGTGCGTGTCCGACCTTTCAGGGAATGGTACCCTTGTCTTGAAGGCCCCTAAGTCGTATCAATTTGAAAATACCTCTACTGGCAGTTAGTTCCACAAGGAGTTGGTGCGCGGCAGAAAGTGCCTTAAAAAAGCGCTGTTGTGGAGCGCCAGGCGTCGATATGGAGAGGATGGAATAAAAATTACTTCATTATATTAAATGGTCAGTCAAGACCTTAATAAAATTGTAACTTGTAACCATTGTCCATAATGGGTCGCTCAACTTGCACAACGGGCAGAGACGGCCTTCTTTCCAAATTTACAAAAATCTCCCCGTACATATCAAAAAGCTCTATTATTTGTTTGCGTTAATTTAATAAACTTTAGAATTCAACACTCACTTCTTCTTTGGTTAAAGCCAATTCTTCTTCCAGCGCTGTATTTCTCTCCAACGCCACACGTAATCGCTCTCGAACCTGCAAATAATTATTGTAGAAATAAATTTAAATAGAGTCAGTTTTAAAAATATATTAATTAAAGCTATATTCGCTATATATCCTATAAGTATAATATAATGACACAGAGAATATTAAATTCCAATAGTTTCTAATAGTGTTAGTATTAAATTCTTGGAATATTGCAAGCGTCTGACTTGTGTTGGTTCAGTGCAATAAGATTACGTTATACGACCTTACGCATAGGACCTGCTCGGTCAAAACTTTATTATATTTAAATATTGTAATATGATTCAATGTTAACCTTACGGTACTCTTCTTAGCGAATTTCTATATATTAATCTATATCTAATATATTTCTATTTGAATAGTAATAATAAAGGAAAAACCAAATTTTGTAATTACAACATTTAAGATGTTGAAGAATTCTTTTGTACTGCAAACATTCAGTATTGCATTTACTACTTAGTGTCTAGATATGAATAAATGAAATGGAGCAGTGTTGGCCTAGTGGCTTCAGCGTGCGACTCTTATCCCTGAGGTAGTAGGTTCGATCCCCGGCTGTACACCAATAGACTTTCATTCTATGTGCGCATTTAACATTCGCTCGAACGGTGAAGGAAAACATCGTGAGGAAACCGACATGTCTTAGACCCAAAAAGTCGACGGCGTGTGTCCGACACTGGCGGCTGATCACCTATTTGCCTATTAGATTTAAAATAGATCATGAAACAGGATTAGAAATCTGAGACTCAGACCTAAAGAGGTTGTAGCGCCACTGATTTATTCTTATTTTTTATCTAAATGATTATGCTAGAAAAAGATTACTAGGCTTATGGTCCTGCCTTTATTTAAAAAACTGCGTTAAGATACCACCCAACGAAGCGTTGGGTCTATAGTTTGAAGATACGTCGCACATATAGTTTGAAGGTAACAATAGAGTGGCGAATGAAATTATCATACATGATCATCAACCAATGTTCTAGCTTACCTTCTCGTCGAGCGCCTTGTGATGTTCGAAGAGACTCTTGAGCGCTTTCAGTACCTCCACTTCGGAAGAAACGCCCGACTGGGCAGCCGCCTGCCGTTTCACCACGGTCATGCGCAGCGAGCGCTCGTGCCGCGACACTAGACATTCTAGGTGCTCTAGTAGAAGCTGGAAGATAAATTCAATAAGAATAATCGAAAGCACATATTTACATGACTTAAATGGGTTTATTTGGTAAAGAAATATACCACAGTAGTTAGTCTGCAGAAAGAGAACGGGCGTGGCAGTTCTGCGAACTAACCATTTTTTATTCATATTAAGTATCGAGATGATTACTGTCGAATTAAACAAAAAAAAGTAATGTAATACTGCTTCGACCTCACATCCCAAGTCCATTTGTTTTCCGCACAGCCTCATTATCATAGCATATATAATAGATAAATAATATATGCGTATAAATGCGCTGTAAACTCTAGTTACAAATATATTTTAGCTTAAAAAATATAAAACCGACTATAATTTTTGTATTTATCACGTTTTAATTTTCTAACATTAACGAGAGAAATCAAGCTTTAACTATTAAAACGTTTAATGTTCTGAAAAAACATCCAAAGAAAGAAACATTTGATAACATTTACATATAAAAAAGGATGAATAGTTTAAAGGGAAGGGCACTAGCCCCCACACTAGGAATCCTTGTATCGTGGGCTGGAAGTCTCTTCCATTTGACATATTAATGATTTTAGGTAGGTACTTGACCTAATAAATTCTACATAACATTTACTATAATTTAACTACTGTTGCAGAAGAAGAATAGGTTTAAAAAAAAGACAGATTTAGAAGATGTTGCTTAAGATTGTTAAGGAATGTATAAAGTTGAGTAAAGATGAAAGGGGCCTCTGGAAGCGAAGCGTTGGGTGGAGAAAGTAAGTTTTTTGGGTACGATGTGGTGTAGTCGGTGTATGTTGTCAAAACAGTCGCCATATTGCCGAATTCTGTATACAATCCTTGAAGTAAAGCCCATAAAACAGTATTATGTATTAATACTAACAAACAAGAACTTAACAAATTAATTTAACAAAAGCGAAATATTACTAAGGAGACACAAAATGGCTTGCGAAAATGATTAAACAGTACTAGTTTTGTTGTCCATTGATATTTTAGTAGAAATAATCTATTAAAATCTCTATATTTGTAAAGTATCTGAGGCACTTTTGAGCCTTAACGGGATTAAGCTTAATTAACGATGTTCCAGATAAATTTTCATTTAGTTTTAATTAATAGCGCGAGTCCTGAACTCCTAAACGTTTAAAACCTGACATAAGTACTGAAAGCATACGTATTTAAAAGCCTATATTACTTTTATGGAAATTTTAAAAATAACAAAAGATAATTTGGCCTCTGAACTAAGATTTTGGTTGTAGTTTTTATTAAGTGGTGTTGGCCTAGTGCAGAGTTCCCTAAACTTTTTTGTGCCGTAGACCCCTTGCCATGTTTTTCCGTGTTGGGTAGACCCCCTACTTACCTGATATTGCTTTCCTGTAAATTTCTAACTGTAGTGTGTAGTGTAGTTAATTTGTACATTTATTAATTGAATTTAAATTAAAACTACTCAAAATTTTGTATCTGTTATGTAAAATATACATAGCATTAAATAAACATAAAATAAACTATAAATAAAACAACATAAGCAATAAGTCAATATAATGTATATGTTATGATATTATAAGATAGTATGATGTAAGTAAATAGGTACTATCAGTGTATGTGTTGAGATCCACTATCGTGGACCCCCATTTTCATTTCATGGACCCCCAAATTTTTTTTTCGCTGACGTAGACCCCTTGCAGGTTGTCAAGGCCCCCGGGGGGTCGATATAGACCACTTTGTAAATCACTGGCCTAGTGGCTTCAGCGAGCGTCTCTCATCACTGAGGACGTAGGTTCGATCACGGCTGTGCACCAATGGACTTTATATGTGCGCATTTAACATTATCTCGAACGGTGAAGGAAAACATCGTTAGGTACCGGAGTCGACGGCGTGTGCCAGGCACGCGAGGCTGATCACCTACTTTCCTATTAGATTGACAAATGAGTATTAAACAGACACAGAAACCTGAGGCCCAGACCTAAAAAGGTTGTAGCGCCACTGATTTATTTTTTTGTTGTACTTGAGCTGGGAACGCAAATGCGTTTAGCTGAATGTGATGACTCCAAATCTCGGAAAAACAAATGCAAAAATGTATTAATCACCTGAGTGGTAAAGTTACGTAACCAGGAGTCGTGGACGACACATTCCTGTCTTATTTCATTAATTCTGTGATGAAAGTTTTAAAAATATCGTTTTACAGTCAATCGAGATTTTACCTACTACGTAGCTGACTTGCCTGTTAAATAATGAAGCCGCTACTGCTTTATGCATGGCATGACTTTCATATAGAAAACGGCCGTGTAAGACATTGGACGTAGAGTCTAGACGAGTGAACTAAATAATGCAAGCATTTGAATATTTATAAGAAGCTAACAATTGCCTGCACAAACTGAGTCACAATGAAGGGTAAACAGAAACGGCGCAGCATTCCGGCTGAACGGCATCGTTAGGAATTCGGTGACAATATGTATCATTTAATTAAAATTTTGCGACCCAAAGACAACACGGTCACTTTAAAATTGGACAAAGCTTTACGATATTTAGCTTATTAATTGATTTATTTATTCATACTTTATTGCACAAAAACAATGTACAAAATATAAAATTAAAAACAATACACAGAACAGGCGGCCTTTTCACTAATAAGAGATCTAGGCAACCCTAGTCATAAGGACATTACATTACCATCAAATTTTCTTATGTAAAATTATTTTTAGGTTTCCCCAATTAGAAGGTCTAAGGTTGCTGTCAAATATGTTAATCATTATACAGAAAACAAATATTTGACAGAATACGGGCCTAGATATAGGATGGTGTCCAATTTGTGTCTAATTGTCTGCCAATGTTGGGCAAATTAAAATATAAGTTTTTTTTCGCTATTAGTATATTAGTAAATATTTACGTTTGTATTTTACAGGATAAAATCGTATAGTTATCTGCAATTGGAATGTATAATGGTGATTCACTACCAAGCA